ATTTTAAAAAAGGAATCGTCCACTGGCTATGCTGATAAGTTCATGCTCTTCAAGAAAAGCCTGGCCTGTTTGTCAAAGCCTAATTTTCTTTTAAGAGAGATGGTCGGTAGAGTGGTGGTGCCTGAGACTTTGGAAGCCACTGTGGACACGAAATGATGCTATTAGGTATTGGATCACAGAGAGGCCTCCTCCTAGGAAAACTAATTCAGTGATGATAATACCATAAGGTTATGTGATGGTAAATTTTATATCTCCTGAAAATTGGAATGGGATGAAGACAAGCGACTCAAAGAAAATAGATTGGGACAAAACAAAACCAGTCAAACCCCAAGTAAGGCTGACAGAGTCACAGACACAAAGTTGAAGCCAGGACTCCCAACCACACTGTCACTTTGTCAGCAAGCCACCCAAGCTGGCTGACAGCTGATGGACACTTGACCCAGGAAATAGCTTGCAAACCACCAAGACCTCTTGGGATCCCATAACAAGAATAGTTATAGTTATTAAATTAGCAATTGTGATTTTCTGGTCTCTAAGAAGAAGAAAGTTTCTAAAAATCCTGTTCAAATCTTGTGCAACTGAGCTGAATTTGTCCTTTCAAGGGGGGGTTGGCGTGATGTATTTGGAATTGCCCGTATCTATGGGAATGCGCTAGCAAGTCATTTCTTCTTCCATGTAGCCAATCGGTCAGTCCGTCAGCAAATATTGATCAGGTGGTGAGCTCGGGGCTAGGGTCTTTGCATCTGAGCAAGAGGAGGGCACTAAATCTCCTTCAGGGGTTGGGGGTTACTGAAATAGAAATCGTGTATCTTCAAATATCTCTGCAACTTGGCATCTTTTGCTGGAACTCAACAGATCCTAAATGTCAATTATCACTACTTAGGACAACTTAAAATAATGGATAGTCATGATTGCGGTCTTTTGGGAAGTAAAGTAAGTGTAAATACTTTCCAAATATTACAATCCCCCTTTGAGAACCAGCCACCCGGGGCTTCCGTGCTGCAATGCCCACTTCCAGGCCAGTGGGACCCGCAGGGGCATGTCCCACCCAGAAAACATCGTCTTGGCTGGGCTTCCCTCAAACCACCCCTTAGGAAGGAGAAACTCGCTCCACCCAGGACCCCTGGCTTTCTTCAGGGGTGGGCTTCTGAGTGACTTCTCGTCGTATTGTTTGTTGTCTGTGTGGCTTTTTAAACCAAATGTACATTGTTTCTCTAATTAGGAAAAAAGCTTTGAAAACTCTGTCATCTTTTCTGTTGCTAGCGTTTATATTCCATCCAAGTGTGGCCTTGATCTCTTCCTCAACAATTCTCCATGTGACAGGTGGCACGCTGAATGGAGAGGAGGAAGGCAAAAATAAAATCAAATAAAACCTCTTTAAACACGTGATAAATTGCCACACGATATAAAGGCTAATGCTGTGCTTCCTATTATCTGGGTTTTAACCTTAGTTCATTTGGGAAAAGGCAGATCAAAATATTGGCCCAGGAGCCACACCTTGTCTGGTTTACTTGGTTTTTTTAAAACCATAACTCTCGCAGGTGACCTAGCAGCAGCGGCACAGCATCAGGCCACGGAGGTGGTGTTGCTGCCCTTAAGCACTGACTAATAGTGACAGGCCGGATCCCACAATTGATTTACAGGGCTCTAGAGAGGATCGAAGGGGCTCGCAGGGCTGGCGCAGGGTGCAACAGCCAGGACCTGCGAAGGAGAGGCCTCGTGAGGGACAGGGCGCCCGTGCTGCCCTGCTCTCCTGTCACTGCGCTGCAAGGGTCTGTGGCAGCGTCCTGCCCCGGGGACGTCCAGCTTTCCTGCACAGTGGGCTCCGAGAGTGGTTCCCCAAGGGTTACAGCCACTATTGAGCCAATTGAGGAACTGGATATACAGTTGTGCATAAGGGCCACTTGTGCCTGTGAATGAAGAATTATCCAATCTTAGGTTATTTACAAAGTTAAACTTTGTTGATCCCTAATACTGTCCCTTGTCATTTCTTGTTGGGGATTTCTCTACTTGAAATCTCTGCACTCATTCACTGCCATGGGGTTGGATGACGGAAATGAGAAGATCTGTGAAGCTGAAGACAGGCTCAACGCAGGGAGTAGAAGCACTTATCTGGTGGCTTTCATGTGGACAGGTCACTTGGTCCCCATCAGATTCCTGAATCTCCTTGGGCTCCAGTTTATTCCTGGTGGAGGAGGGTTCTGTCTGGTCCTCCCTGGTAGGGTACTGTGAGCTTTCAAGATCCTATAGGATTCCTGTTCACTTTCTTTATAAAGTCTCCACTTCTGCTCTCATTCCTTTTCTTTTCCAGAGACAAGCAGCGAAACAATTAGTAAACTGTAAAAAGAAAAAAAAAATTACAGTAAACTATAAAGTGAAATACACCAGGATCCCCAGTGCTAAGTGCTAAATAGATAATGTTGAATTTGAATGGTCTTTTTTGTCTCTTCTGCTTACTCTCCTTGTGTGTGGCAGGGGAAGGGTTGATTAATTGGGTCAACATTTGGCTGAGGCCAGATGCAAAAAAAAAAAGTCTTCTTTTATGTTTTCTAAAGTCTAGACTATGAGTTCCTTGGGACTTAGACAGCCCTGATCATTCATCAAATTCCCACTGAACACAGTGAGCGTGCCCTTGTACCAGGCTCGGTGCTAAGTGCTGAGGATAACAGCCCCGCCTCCAGAAAACTGAGTCAGTTTTGCAAGGCAGACATTAAACAAGTAATCACAGAAATAGTTCTTTAGAGTTATGTCTACAGCTGTCAAAATCACTACAGGGTCCTATTCTTGGGGTCTCTGTTGCAGGGGTGGAGGGAGCACAGGGGAGGCTGAGGGAACAGGGTGCTGAAGTCTCCAGGGAGGGAGGGGTGAGGAGGGCCTGTGCAGACTGTAAGATTCCCGGAGTGGCCCGAGTGTCTCAGGAGGAGGGGGGGAGGCAGCAGTGAGGTTGGGGGGGGAGAGAGGGCCAGATCCATTTTGCAGGTTTATTTGAAACAAATCTCAAACTGATATTTAGACCTTTAGCCTAGAGGAAGTGTGGTGCCACTAAAGCAAGGACTTCAACAGGGAGATGCCAGGTATAGGAAAATTGCCTATGGCCTCTATCAGGGCCCTCTGAATTTGGGTATTGTTTTGATTCAAGAGTCTTTATTCTGATTTTATTACCTCATCTTCCTCTGAAGGTAAAGTTGCCATGAATGTAATCAATATGGCCTATCAAGGCCATATTGATATTCACCTCCCCTTCCTTTTTTAAATAAAGCATGCTGTTCATTGTAGAGACTGTATTTGGGGCAAGTAGGGGGGCGGGGAGACTAGTTAGGATCTACTGAAGTTGAGTAGGAGAGAGAGGCTTAGGCCATGATGGGGGAGGTAGAAATGGCAGGAAGCAGATGGATTCTAGAACCGTTAAGAGGTAGGAGCCGGTGAACTTGGTGCTTGGTCAGACAAAAAGGCTGATCTCGGGGAGAAAGAGGATTGAGCAGGGTTTCCAGGTTCCTGAAAGGGAGCTCTGGGTGGGCGCAGGAACCATGACGGAGGCTGGGCTTTTAGAGAGAAGATTAGGTTTGAGGAGAAGGAGCCCAGGTAAGTTTGCACCCTGTTTGGGGCGGCAGTGAGATGTCCCAGTGGATGAGGACTGGGTTTGGACTTCAGATGAGCGTTCTGAGTGACCACAGAAAATGGGGAGGTGTCAGTGTTCAGATGGTAGCTGAAGCCAAGGCAGGAATCCTGACCCCTAGTGTGAATATATGAGCATCTGAGGACCTCCAACGTGGAAAAGGCACGTGCAGAGGCGCCTGCAGAGCGAGCAGAGTGGGGCAGCCCAGAAGCAGCTGGGAAACCAGTGGCCACGACAGGGAGAGCGGAGGAGGGGAGGGCTGTTCAGCATCCATCACTGCTGAGAAGTCCAGGCGCTCCCAGCACAGTGTTGGACTCAGAGCAGGATCTTAGTGCATGGATGTTGAGCTCTCTCTCTCTCCTATTCAAATCTGCTCCAACCGGGGCTGAGAACATAATCTATGCACCCAGAATGCAAGCTTGCTACTTGTTTCTTCCCCGAACTCATTTGTCAGCAAAGCTTCAGGTTGCATCGGGGTTTCGGAATGCTGACATCATGCACTGCTTTTTTCTGGAATAAGGCCATATTGATTACTTTCGTGGCAACTTTAACTTCAGAGGAAGATGAGGTCATAAAATCAGAATAAAAAGTCGTGAACCCAAAACAGTACCCAAATCCAGAGGCCCTGAGAGATGCCATCGGCAATTTTCCTATACCTAGTATCTCTGTGTTCAAGTCCTTTATGCTAATTTTGGACATGGTAGTTCCTAACTAAAGTGATAATGGTGTGACCAGTGATGCCAAGTTGACTGCCTTTTGGGGGCAATAAAGTCTCTTCTGGACTACACATACAAGCAGATGGCAGCCCCTCGTGTCTTTCCCGTCTGAGTGAAAGCACCAGTGAGGAAAGGCGCTATGATGTTTTCAGCAGTTTCACTGCAGATCCCCTCCCTTTGGGGCGAGGGAGTTTTGCAAGTGCAGCGTACCTGTGGATGCCTTTAGGTAGTTTCCTCAGACGGCTGGGGGAGCAGAACTTCCCTTTCCCTCCTACACCCCCACATCAAATCCTTGTTTCTTGAAAAGGAAAATAAAAAAGATTAACCCTTTTTTTCTAGGCCAATGATTCTCACTCCTTAAAAGTTAAATATTAAAATCTGAATTAAATTATTTATGGCGCGGAATCACGTGGCTGCTACTCTTCATGCCCTTTAGCAGAATGAGTATGAGCCTCGCACGACGTTTTATTCCGAAGCCGGGCATCCTGGTGGGGTGGGGAGCAGTGTTCTCTGTGTGGGTAATGTCACTGATTCTGTTTGCTTGGGACGCACGCTAAGTTAACCTCGTTGGACTTTTCCCCAGGAATTGATGCGCGCACACGTGGTGGGTCATTATGCTGCTGCACCTGTGTAGTGTGAAGGTCAGTGTGCTTTTCTGATTATAAGAAACCATCCGTGTCATTCCATTATAACCCTCTCCACTCATAATGGAATGTTCCTCGGCCCAGAGCGTTGCCCAGCCCAGGAATTTTCTCAAGTGCTGTCCGGCCGTTTGAGACCCATCACCCTCCCCTCCCTACCACCCGCATCCACCCCAGAACCCGACTGTGCTCCATTTTGAGATGTGTTCTTTGCATGTCAAGTGCCTCTTGTGTGATGTGATTGTCCCGTTGTCACAAGTGAATTTGTACCTGGAAACAAACACGCTGTGATGATATTTCCAAAATTACAGCTGAGGGGCCTGCTGGGCTGTGGGTAATTACTTCCAGTTAATATGGGCACATGGAAATACGCCTTGAGACCAGAGCAGCGATTGCTCCTCCTGCTTCAGAGTCGGGCCAGTCCTCTGGGAGGCTGCTGTCGTTAGAACGGGCCTGTTGCAGTGGGGTGGCTCTCCCCGGAAGAGCTTTCTACCAGCCCCCTCAGACTTCCTGCCAACTCCCCTCCTCCCTCTGTTTCATGGTTTTACCACTGTTGGTGACAGCCGTGGTTTACAGCATTCACAGTTTGCATTTTCTGGGCACTGTGTGTCATGCTTAGTGCTTCTCCTGCGTGAGCCCCTCTCCTGAGAGGTAGGTGTGATCATTGTCCCCATTTGGTGTATGAGGGAACTAGATCAGAGAAGGCTGAGTAATTGCCCCAAGTCTCCCAGTAGGTAAATGGGGAGCAGAGACTCTAACCGAGGTCTGCCTGTCTGAGCTGCAGTCGCCATCCACTGGGTCCCGTGCTGCTCTGGTAATATTCACCCAGCCAATCCTTAAGTGAGGATTTTATTTAAAAAATAAATAAAAGCTCACATTGGCATAAGGCTTCTCAAATTTACTAAGCATATCCACATGCATAGTCAGCTAATCCTTGAAATGACCCTGCAGGAAGGAGAGTGAAGCCCCAAGATGTTCGATGAGCATCTCAGTGCTGGCCAGCAGGCAGGACGGGAGGCCACGTTCATGTGCAAAGGCAGCTTCTCCTCTGCCACGTGCTCACGCAGAGGGCAGCTTTCCTGTTTAGCAAGTTCTGAGTAACGCACTTGAAGAATGAGTATATTATGTGTTGCATTCAGGAAGCATTAAATTAGTAGTTAATCCTGTGCAGCCAGATGTCCAGGGCCAGTCTCAGCAGAGGGGACACTAACTTTAATTTCCTTTTTCTCACTGAGCACCACAGTTTGTGGTGCTGTCAGGAGCCGCTTCCTCTGGAACATTTTCACGTGTCAGAGCTCAGCGCAGCCTGTGTTTCTAGTTCATTCCGCTACTCCACCCTCCAGTCTTCCCCTTTTGGGGAAGGCTTAACTTTTACGAAGAGGAAGTTTTCATAGCGCTCCAATCCCTTTACCTTCCCCTCGGACTTCTGTGTTTTCTCTTTGGCTGTAAAAATATAGTGAGAAGTCTTTTTAAAATTCAAGTGTTTCCTTGTGGGTGCATTTCACATTGAGGGAGAACAGTTTCCCCCTTTCTTCTTTCCAAAACTAGTGTGCTTAAGAAGTGAGGGCTTCTCTGTCCTAGAGAATCTAGCTCATGGCGACTTCAGATGCAAGCTTTGCCTTGAAGTAAAATTGCTGGTTTACTTAACTTAACAGCAAAGCCCAGCTGCACATAGCTCATCCCAGGGGGTTCTGTTCAGGGATCCAGGAAATAGGATGGCTGAGTACGCTCCCATGACACTCACGTGAGTGAGCTCTCACCAAGTGACACCAGAGAGAAGACTGGGAGCCCAGCTGACATGACCTCAGCCTCCTGCACACCTAAAAGGACAGGTTATCACAACCTTATTTTTAGTTTCTGTGGAAGGTAAATGCAAAACTTCTTGCCCCGAACCCTACATGGTAATGGAAATCTATGGTCCCATAACTTTTGTGTTTTTGCTTAAATCTTCGAAATTGAAAACAATCCCAAACAATCCTATATCTTCCCATAATGTTTTCTAAGAAGATTCACCATGTTCCGAAATGAGTCTGCAGCATTACTAGCTGGGCTTATAAAAATATCTAGAAATAAACTAGGGATGATCTGATAGACCATTTAATGTGTGTAATGCATGTACACTTTTCAGCTTCTGGAATGAAGGATGAATGCAGGATGAATGCTCATCTCTGGAAGAGGCCCAAACGGGAGATTTCATGCTACAACCACTGGTTCTCACGCAGGGGTGCATCTCAAGCCACCGAGTCCAGCTTTGCACGTGAAGCCTGGGCACTTGACACATCGAACAAAGTGACCCTGAGAGGCTCCCCTGCTTGAGGACCACTGGCTAAAACTGATGGAACTAAACCCCCCTGTGTCTGTGAATAACAGAACTGAAAGAAATCTGTGCAGCAGATCTTTATGCCACAAGGACAAGTATCTTGTTGCTCAAATATGGTTTTCTGAAGCCTGTCAAACGTCCTTTGTGGAGGAAAAAGAGCCAAAACATTAGAGCGTAGGCATTACCATGACTCGCATCTCTGTGTCCGCCGGGTCGCTGGGATGGCGGGAGAGAAGTAACACCTGTGAGAGAGAAAGGGCGGAAGGAGAACTGCGCGAAGGCTGCAGCCTGGCCGAGCCTCTGCCAGCCCACGGGGCCTCAGGAGCAGACTGCCTGTTCAGAGACCGCCACCCCTGCCCCCTCACCCCGCCCGGCTCAGTCTTAGGCCAGGGCACCCTGAGAAGACTGTGAAGACCACTCCAAACGGAGGTGGACTTGGAGGACTTGCAGCTGGGGGCTGTCAGCTGCCGGCTTCCTCACAGCTGGGCAGGGGGTCTTTCTTAATCGGCTCACGTCTGCCGCACTCCCCAAAGACTTTAGAAAGTCAGTTCCGCTGGGCCTTTCAGAGTTTGGCCAGCAGCAGCTGGAGCAGGGAGGTAGCACCAAGGGGTGGTCCCCTGCAGGAGCCCAGTGCCTTAGGGAGACGGATGAAGGGAGGGGAATGGAAGAAACAGGGAGAGAAACTTGGCTCGTTCGATTTCATTCTGTTTAGGGCATGTGTTAGGTGGTGGAACTTGGAAGGATAGGGCACTAAGGTTTGAAGAATCTGAAAATCTTCTCACGTAGAGAGGGAAGCCCAGAGAGGTTGTGTGTCAACCAAGGTCACCCAGCGGTGGCGGGACTCAGGGATGCACGGGGCTGCACTCAGCTTGGTGTCTGCTCACGCCTGCACACCCCTCTGCTGACACAGAATGAGCCTTGTCACTTTGTTCCCCTTGACCCCAAACTCTACCCAGTGAAGGAAGTCTATGGCTCCAGAATTTTGTGCTCCTGCCTAAATCTTCCAAACTGAAATGATCCCAAGGTTCTCCCACACCGTACCCAAAACAGCACACCCTTAGTCTAGGGATGTCCTGTGTCGGAATGTATCAGCAGGTAGAGGTGTGGATCCCCGGGCACCTGAGGCCCACAGCCGTTTACGGAACATCCACCATCTCTCTGCTTTGCTTTTTGGTTATAGTGTCATCAAGACATAAATTGATAAAGCCATCTGAAGCCTTTAAACTAATCCCACAATTTGTTATCCTGACACCACAGAAAATAGAGCATCATTAATCTCCTACACTTATTGATTTGGGACCTCAGTTGAAAGACTGACTGCTTTCCTCCTCCTCTTCCTCCTGCTGCCCCTCCCCCTCCTCATAGTGTTCCAGTTCCCATGTCCTGACCCACGGTGTCCCGATAACCCCTGGAAAGACAGGCGATGGGCCTCCCCGAGTGTGAGCCATGAGTCCAGACCCCGCTGAGTTAGGGGCCGCCGCGGCCTCCCTCCGGCTCTTCTCCAGCCTCGGCCCGGACAGCTTCCCTGGACTTCAGCAGATAAATAGTGTGGCCCGGCGCTGCCATGGGCGAGCTGAGTCATGCCCTTGGCGGGGTCAGGGAGCCAGCAGGAGGAGACCAATAGCCCTGGCGAGTCTCCTTCGGGGGTCCTAATGCCCTTTGCCCCGCAGGTGCAGGACATCGCCCCGTCCCCACCCCCCGGAGCAGAGTCATCTGAGAGCCTGGCTGCTGCCCATCCCTGGGTGTAATTCTGCCACCAGTATTTTCCCAGCAGGAAGCAGCAGTCTCAGCACAGAAATAAAACTGTCCTGCTGACTTGCTCGCAGCCTGTCCCAGTAACTGTTCCGGAGCGTCATGCTGACGCAGCACCCCATGAGGACCGTGCCGGGCAGGCTGCGAGCCTTCCCGTTAGCCGTGCCGGCGGGACAAATCAAGGCCCTGGCCATTGAACAACTTCTGAGCCTGCTCTTTAAGAAGGTGCTTTTGTTTTGAATACACAATTTGTCCTGTTCTTTCAAAGTAAGTGCTTTTATAAAGGGCCTGGACTGTCTTTTAAACATGTTTCTTTCTCACTTCTACATTAAAGGGAAATGTATTTCTGTCTAGAAAAGGAGCCGGGCAGAGGAAGGAGGCTGTGTGCAGTGTCGCAGGCTTGGCTTAAAGTAGGGCATGCACACTGCACAGCTATTTTCTTCAGACAGCATGTGGCAAAAAAACATGCGTGTGTAGCGGACTGTTTTGAGCTTTGTTTATTTTAAGTACTGTCTACTGCATGATTTTGTTCAAGCAAAGGAGTACCAGCTTTATATGCAGCCGCAGATGCCTCTCTTGCTTGGGAGTGCTGGATTTAGAGCTCAAATTTTTTCTTTTTCAGCAAGAACTAGAAGTTTCCCAGTAGTATTTTTTCCCCTCATGCCCATTTGCATTGTGCAGAATTCTTAGAGAACACGGCTCGGCTAATGCTCTGCGGCGGGCTCAGGATAGCAGTGGGTGTCAGCAGATCTGGTCCCGGGGCTGTTTGCTTAGCTCTGCTTTCTTAATGCAGGTTCTTGCTTTACATGATTTCACACAGTAAGTCAGTATTTTCATGATCACAGCTGAATGCACACCATAGATGGATGTGTATTTTCCTTCCCCTCTTGCAGATTTTTTTTTTTTTTTACAAAGAAAAGAATAAAGCTAGAAATGCAAAGTAAAAGTAGATTTGGGAGTATTTTATTCTACTTAAACTGTTTGGATTGAGATTATCCTGGGTCACTCTGACCCAAGCAGCCTCTTGAACTGCTAGGAATTCGATAGCAAGCCCTGAAATAAGGGCCCTGTGACTTAAGCTCAGCCTGGCTTGGACGTTTGAGATGGAGGCAGGACCAGTCATTCCTTTTTCACTTGGCAACTAGTCACTGAGCACCTACTATGTACCAGACACAGTTGAGGTGCTGGGGATACAGCTGTTACCAAACGGGTCCCTGCCCTCATGGAGGCTTCATTCTAGTTGGGGGAGGTGTCAGGAAATGAAAAACTCAAATCAGTGTAGAACGTGATGTCAGGCACTAGGAAGTGCTAAGAAGAGAGCAGGGTAAGGAGGGTGGAGAAGAGAGAGGCCGTGTTCTCTCACGGGGACACACCGTGTTCACCTGCTCTGCCTTGCACCCCCACCTCTGGGTACAGGCTCTGAAAGCCCAGACTGTCTCTGAACTTGCATAAAAATATAGCCCAGAGGTCACCAACGCTGTGCTCCCTTAAAAGACCATTTTATTTGGCTGCCAGTGTTTTTGTTTTATTTTTTAAGATTTGATTTTGTTGATGGACTTTATTAAACAGAAGACAATTTTATATAAAAATTCAGAGTCTTAGCTTCTCCTGAAAAATTGCAGAAGCTCTTGCAGCCCTGGGCCCACTTTCTGCTGGGCCTCAGAGGCTGAGTGAGGAGGGCCCTGTTGGGCCAGAGGGGCGTAGGACCTTCAGATCGTCATAGTTCCCCCTTAGCTCGCCTCCCTGCTGGCCTCCAGAGGCAGCCCTGCAATCACTCATTTCCCCTCCGAGGACAGCAGTGCCTCTACTGTCATACTGCATAGGCCCTGTGCATGCTGTCTTTCAGCTTTCTCCCCCAGTCATTCTGTGGAGGCTTGCCTCTCCTTGAGCGCTGCAAGGGGCTGTTTCGGTGCCAAGCTATCACAGTCCCAGGCTGAGTCACAGCAGCCATCCGGTCAAAGAATGAGCCCTGTCCTTTTGCATTCCCAGATTGCTTTCACCTAGCCTAGTGGCACAGGGGACTCAGTGGGGATATACAAAATCTAGTTTATTTTCACTCATTACAATCGCAGGTCTAAATAGCTAAGATGCTCTTGGAGTTATGGGTTCATTACACTCCTGCCTGATTAAAACTCAGCCCATTCTCTGGTTATTTCATCAATTCTACCCACAAAGTCCTTCTCAGACTCTTTCTTCCCCAAATGGAATTAGCCAAAGCACATGTTATTTTGCTCCAATTACTGTTTATTTCCATGTGGCTTTTCAGAGGATAATGCCATTACCAGACAGACAGGAGTATGACCATAGCAATTGCAAGTGGCAGGATTGTCTGAGCTAAACCCGATGCCCCACGGGGTACATTCCACGGGCTTCTTGGCTCACCTCACAGGAGTGTCAGCGTCCAGCAGTGTTCTCCTCCTGTCTCAGCCGGTTCCACCAACATTGGCCTGGAATTCACTCCGTTGACCTAACATACGGCATCTCTCCAAGCGAGCATCACTAGCGTAACCATACGCTGGCGAGCCCTCGCCTCAGTGTTTGAGTATACTTTTTCCTTAAACTACTCACCTTTCCCTACTCCACAATAGATAATAGACCCTTTGCTGGGCAAAGCCTTCCCCTTGCCGTGTGCTCTTTCTTCATTTCAGAAGCTCCGAGTGCCCTCCACAGCTTTGTGCCCCAGTGTCCCTGTCCTTGAGGGGCTGTCTGAGCCCCACCCCCAGGTTTGTGCTTGTTCTGCTGAGAGTGGATCCCTTTGGAGCTGCCCGAGAGCCACACTTGCCTGTACTCAAGAACTGGCAGCTTCAGCGTCACCTGGGACCTTAGAAGAGTAAACTCTGAAGCCCATTCTGGAAATGCTGAAACAATCTCTGCATTTTAATAAGACTGCCAGGAAACTCATGTAGCCATTAAGTTGGGAAATCACTGGCTTATCTCAAGGCCCAAGCTGTGCACGGGCTTTCCCTACTGCCTCTGGGCCCTTCCCCTTCCTTTGATCTCGGCCTCTCGTGGAGAACTCCCCCACCAATGCATGGATATCTCCAGTCATTGGTGTTGAGTTCCACAGTCAAACACACACCCTAGCACTTTGTAATCTTAATCTTTGGTCATTAGACCATTCGGCTAAAGGGAAGGGGCTACCAACCATCACTAGCAGTCGGCCAACGTACAAAATATTTTAGGGAGCTAAGTCATTTGTCATAAATACTTAAATAGTCATTAGAGGAAAAGTAATCCTACAGTGTAGTTTACCAGTGGGTGTATAATGTGGAAAAACCAATTAAAGTCAATAAGAGACAGTTGTTAAATTAAATAGACTGTGAATCGCCAGTCAGGCAAGATGGGAAAATGGTTAAGAGTTGGCACGGAGTCCAGCGGCCAACCTTGGTTAGAGTTCAGCTCTGCTTCCGGCTGTGTGACCTTGGGGAGGTTTCTTAGCCCAGTCATCCGTCAGCCTGCCTGCTCCCCACCATCCTCTGCAGAGCTTGGAAATAAATTCTCAGTTGTCTGGGATTTACCAATAGAGACCCTGGTTCAGTAGCCTTCAGGCAAGGCTCAAGCGACTGCATTTTTTAAAAAAAATCCTCAAGCTGTTTTGATGCCCAGCCGAGTCTGGGGACCATTGGCAACCTCATGGAGCCTCGCATCCCCCTTTTCTTGCATGAGGACGATAGCAGAGCGGCCTCTTGAGTTTTTGAGAGAATTAAATGGTGGCATGGAGGGCAAGATCCCGCCACATGCCTCACACGTAGTCGCTGCTCACCCATCGGAAGTGATGACAATGGAGCTAAGACAAGGCTCCATTCGCACCCATGGGATAAGCTCAAATCTAACCTCTTTTTTTTTCTCAAATATGAGCTGTAGGTTATAAACACAGGTCTGTTTAGAAGCCCACAAACATAAATTGTCAAAATAAATCAGGTTATTTTATTGTGGCTGCCGGTAGCTCTGTACCAGGCTTGATTTCACCCTTTTAATAATTCTGACTTATAGTTTGTTCAGTGCTTTCAGATTTCCAAGTGCTTTAATGTATGTCATTGTCCTCTGACATTCCCTACAATCTTAGGAGATGTGCAGAGCTATGATGTGAATGTAATTTCATTTTGTAACTGGGGAAACAGACTCAGAAGTGAGGGGCTTGCTTAAAGCTGCTGCTGCCTGAACAACCTGGAATGGGATTGAGGTCTTTGGACTCTGAGTCTGTGCTGATGGTCTTTCTACTCAAAGCTCATACGTAGGGGAATTTTCCAAAAAAATCTCCTTGATTGACTGCTAATGAATCTTCCCAGATTAGGCTAACCATTGCCCCAGGAAGCATCTTTGTTTCCTGAGCCGGGCTCCAATTTACTCTTAACTTTAGGCCTTTTCAAATCTAGGGAGACCAAATTCATTGGATCCTTTTGTCACTGGAGAATCAATGACCACCGAGAGCAAAATAGTGAAGCTCCATTTAGCTGAAATTAACATAACGTAGGTAACTGTTAGAAAGAAAATATGACATGGTCCACTAACCCTATACTGTAGCACTTGCATTTGCAATTTTTCATGCATTCCCCCAGGTAATTAGTTTTATGAAATAGTGCCAGGTGGCACGTTTCCACTTCCCCGGCGCTCCTGGAAATATCGGACGTACTGGACAAGTAAGCACTCTTACTGGAAAGTTACGTCAAGGAGTTTAGCAGAATGTGCCAGAAAGCACACACAGCAAACATTAAGTCAATAAGCCATCTACTGATGGCGTACTCTCAGGAACCTCCACAAAAACCACCCTTCCTCCCCACCCCAGCCCCACTGTTTCTGCAGAGGTTCTGCCCTTCAGCTGCCCTGGAACATGATGCAGAAAGTGTGTGAGGAGCCAGGAGTTTCCTCTCAGCCCCACTTCAGTTGAATTTTCACCTCCCCTCTCCTCCAGCACTGGTCCTAACACCCAAGGAGACGGCCGCGCTCCACTTTCTTGAAAACCACAGAACCAAATGTACCTGCTACCTATCTAAACGTCTCTCCATCGGGGTCACTTACACCCCCGAAACCTTTTGGTGTCACCAGAAGAAGGGGTGTTCAATTATTCTCTCTAGCGGTCGCCAGCTTGGTTCGCTCCGCCCTACCGCATGTCCTGTTGCTGACTGGGCATCACTTAGTCGTTCGTCATGGAGTCAGGAATGTAGAGTAGCCTGCGGTATACTCAGCCCGTATCCACTCCCCCTCCCTTTATTGTGCTCAAATATGAAAAAAGTACAATGACAAGTTTAGAAGAGGAAACACGGTGT